CTACAACTGCAAGGGAGCGGTACTACCATGGGCCCCCGCCGTACTACCGCGCTGGACAAGCGGTACTACCGTGGGTGGCGCGGATGTAAAAAATTACATCCGCCCCTACTACCGCACCGGAGCGGCACTAGGCCAGGGTGCAACGGTACTACCGCACCAGAGGGGCGGTACTACCGTGAGGAGCGCGGATGTAAAAAATTACATCCGCCCCTACTACCGCACCTGAGCGGCACTAGGCCAGGGTGCCGCGGTACTACCGCGCCAAAGGAGCGGTACTACCGTGACGCCCCGCGGTACTACCGCTTGTACCTGCAGTACTACCGCATGTACAGCAGTAGTCGTCAGTTTTTCACACAACCAAGATAACGACGGGTAGCTCCAAGGTGCAAGGAAAGGAGGGACAAGTGTACGTGTGATTCCACCCTACCTTTCCGACGCGGACCCCCTCTTAATAGTACGGCTCTCCTACGACTCAACTCCACCAAAGAGAAACGTAGAACAACGCCGGCTTCAACAGTCTCCGAGGGGCACCGAATCGTCTTGTGCCTAATGATGAAGTATCTGAGAGACTCAAGGCACACGATTAGTCCGCACGAGTATTGTCATCAATCACCAAAACACTTAGGGATAAATATGCCCTTACAGGAGCAAACACATGTTGTCAATTTGGAACTTGAAACCAGTGGTTGCAGAAAGGGGGACCTCAGTGGCATCGCATGTAACCATGCCATCTCAGCAATTAACAAGGCAAAAAGGTTTCCAGAGGACTTTGTAAGCAAATTTTTCAAGAAACCATATTACTTGGCAGCATATGAACCAATGATATATCTTGTCCCTGGTGAGCATGATTGGACAAAGACCCTAGGTCCAGACATAGAACCACCAGCATTTAAAGTGAAGAAAGGAATAAAGAAAGAGAAGAGGATAAAGGGAAAATTTGAAGTTCCAAAGCCAAAGTCCACCTCAAGAATGGGGACAATAACTTGTAGCAATTGTGGATTACAAGGGCATAAATACACAAGCTGCCTTAAATAGTTGAAACCTGAGTTGGCCTTAAGAAAGAATAAACATGTGGTAAGCCCCTTTGAACTAGTTCTTCAGTTTGATATTTCTGTAAATTACCTTTCTCCCTTGTACACTTCTTACTTGTAGTATTATTAACTGTGTTTCCTTTGAATTGTTTTCCAAGCCTGCTGGAAGGAATTCACAAGCAAGAGGTGTTGCTCCTACAGCTCCTGCAGCAACACCTAGAGCTGCTTCAGCAACAGCTAGAGCTGCTTCAGCAACAGCTAGAGCTCCTGCACCAACACCTATAGCTCCTGCACCAACACCAAGAGCTGCTCCAGCTGGAGGAAGAACTGGAAGTGCTGCTAGTAGAGGTGGTGGAAGTGGTGCTGGTAGAGGTGCTAGAAGAAGGGCTGGTGGTGGAAGAGGATCTGGAAGAGCATCTTCTAGTGCTCAGTCTTCTCCTGGGAGAGGTGCTCATTCTTCAAGGCCTTTCTCTGCCCCAAGGCAGTATGGTGCCTCAACTCTAGTGCTCCTCCACCAAATGATGGCACACACACTGGATGGATGGCCTGGTTCAATGCTAGTAGAGGTGGCAGAAAGTGATGCAAACTTCTGCTGGTGCTACATTGTGCACCTGTTACAATGTGGAATTTTATCTTTTGGTTTGATGTCACTCCAGTAACTTGTGTTGCTGCTACAATATAATGTGCTTTATTTTGGTTTGATGCCACTGCAGCAACTTGTGCTGATGATACATTGTGCTTTATTTTGCTTTGATGACACAACAACAACTTGTGCTCATGCTATAATGTGTATTATTTAGAGTTTGATGCCACTACAATGTTTTCTTTTGGGATTGATGCCACTAAAGCAACTTGTGCTGATGCCAATGGATATCTTGATGGTTCTGTTGGGGATAACTTGATGGTTCATGGATTGATGCCACTTGGGTGGATAACTTGATGGTTTATGTTCATATTTTAATGGCATTGTTTTGCTATTTGGTCATGTGGATGAACCAACCTAAACCTAAGCATTGGTGTTTATGGTGGCTAGAGGTCGACGGAACCACCTTAACCTAAGCATTAGTGTTTACGGTGCCTCGGGGTCGACGGAACCACTAAACCTAAGCATTAGTGCTTATGGTGGATAGGGGTCCACGGAACCAACTAAACCTAAGCATTAGTGTTTCCGGTGTCTCGGGGTCGACGGAGCCACCTTAACCTAAGCATTAGGG